TGTATCCATGGATAATGAATAAGTACGCATCCGTGGATGGCGATTTACTCATCCAAGGATATCGTAGTCGTCCGCTAGGGAATATTCCGAGCTCGCGACAAAAATGAATTCTCAGCAGACGAGGGACCCCGTACGTCCGCACCACGAGCAAGACGTGAGTCCCACTGCCGCCGTCGACCGGAAAGATCAGATCCCCGATCAGAGGCCGAAATTCGCCTGATTTGCATTCAGGCCCTAATCGAAGGAGGAACATTCGAAGTGCTAGCCTCTGATTTCGGGATTCAAGCTTCGCCTGAGGAATTATAAACGAGCCACTGACCTCTCGTGATATAACGCCAGAGCCTCCCCCTACCCCTTCCCTCACAGATTTGCTCCGAAAACTATCGGATCGCCCGATCCCAGCGAGACAGGGTGCTATCCGAGCAGAGGGTGCAGGCATTCTCTCGATATCCTGGAGTTGCCATCATCGTCCGACCTGGCAGGCAGCAATACACTCTTGAGAATCCCAAGAGCGGAATTCTCGTTGCTGCCCAATGCACGGAGGCCCACGACCATCGTGGACCTCTTTTCATGTGAGAAAATGGGTGATGCTGTCCCTATGGACTCCCCACGAGCAGACTGCTCCACCATGAGAGATTCTGCGATAGGTGTCCCAGTACACGGAATGCAAAAGTTCCTCCACTGACATGCTCGCAACAAGGGAGGCTCGAGGCGTACGAGAGATGTATCTGCTAGCTCTGTGGGACAACCTGCCATCAGTATCATTTGTACAGCTGCGAAAAGTCTAGCTTCGACTGGCGGACAATGGGGACTAAATATTGATGAAAACGAAGAAAAATAGGAGATGGCAGAGATAATTTTTTCAAAGATTTTTTCCTTGATAAATCCATAGACTGCTCGGGGAGAAGCGGATACCCATCAATGCTTCGACCAAATCCTCAGAAAGTTGATGGTCCTGATATACTACCGATAGACATATCTCGGGAGATAATCCTGGGGAGTTCGCACATGACCTGCTCGCTGAGAAGCGAAAACTGAAGTCCCCACAGTCGCGGCTCATGATCAGATCGATTAGTCGCCGGAGATCAAGCATGAGTACATACGCTCATGCGAAATGCTGCTCGGAGAATCGCGGTCCGCAACTGAGGTTTCGAATCCGGGAACCCATTCAAAAGAGCAGTGGTTCATATCGAAAACCTCGGGAAGTCACCGGTGCAGGAGGTGAATTCCCGTATGTGAGCTTCTATTCGGGCTATCGGCGATATATGTAAGCCAGGCTCGAACCATGCGATCACATGGATTCTAGATTTCGACCACGCATGGGAGCGATCCCTTTTCTTCGATTCTTCGTCCTGCGACGCCAAACGAGTGCGGACTGCTTTGTAGACCGAATTGAATAGACCCGAAATCGAAGGACGCTTTCGAGACCGAAAATTCTGTTACTGTAGGGTCCAACTTGAAAGCGCGTAGTGCGTCATCAAAAATTAGACGACGTCGACAACGAGTTCCGCACGAACGATCGAATCCCCCCGGCGCACCGAAGGTCAGTGCTCGCCTCAACTCTCATGGCAAGACGTGCACGCCGAGCAATCGTATCCAGTCGCTCGGCACGGTCGCTCGCCGTTCCGAAGCTCCCGAGTAGAGACGAAGGTCTCGAATGACAGTCCAGAAAGACCCGAGTTCCTATGGTCTCCGGTGCGACCTTTTGAGAATTACCTACTGAATGGGAACAAGACGATGGGATTATCCTTATTGGCATCGTGATTTCCGCTACTTTCGAGCTGTTTAGAATCGGGAAACTCAAAAACGATCGTCCTCAAATGTCTTCTTATCCTGACCCACCTAGGCGCGATGGCTCGCCTGCGACGGATGCGAGTGATGCATGAAGATATTCGAGGTCTCCGTCCCAAAGTTGCGAATCGGAGCACGGACGCGACTGAAATCAAATCGAGTATCTCAGTCGCGTATGCCCGAATCGATGCTCTCTTCGACAAGCCAGTCATAAATTCGGCGGATTTCGCCTACCGCCTCGTGACAATTTCGAGAGCCGGCATCCGAATTCGAAGCCGCACGTCTTCAGAATCGTCATGATTCGTCGTCGTGGACGCCGACCACCAGACCATTACAGTGCTCATAAGCTGAGAACAGGCGCGTATCCAGGGGGGAAAGGGGCCATTCGGAACCGACGACCCCTTCATTCTCTTCCCACGTATTGCGAGAGTTTAGGACGTGTGATGATTGCGGACCTCTAGCCTCTCTTCCTCTTCTCCGTAATCTCCACGAAAATCACTCATTAGGAATCTGTGGAAGAGTTTCGCTCGAAGTACATACCCTCACGAATCCAGACAAGCCTCATTCTCTGATCATTGATGATAGCTCAACCCTCCTGCTGCTTCGTTGAAAAAAGGCGATTAAGGACGAGACGCTGTGGAGTGAATACTTGACGGCTGTATTCAGGAATCAGAATTGAGATCACAACATCGACATTTCACGAAACGTAGTGGTTCAGACAGTTTCACGAGGAATTGGTCTTCCCACCGTGATTGGCGGGGGAATCCGATTCTCATCCTCAACAAGCAACATGCCGGAATATTTAGACTCCTCTGCCTTCATATTCACCGCTGATTGAGAGGATGCCGCACGGAAGCAACCCCGATGGAGCCACATCGGATGTCATAAGCATCTGAGGGCCAACAACTCGCGCGGACTTGACTTTTCTCCGGAGTCTGCCCCTCGGAAAAGCCCTGCGGGGACGCAGAATCATCAGGGTCAAAACCCTCTTGCACCTCAATCGAGAGGGACATTGCGTGGTCGCGGGAATGCTGCAGAGTGATTCGCGATCGAATGCTCTGAATCCCCCGATCCAGTAGGTCCAAAAAGTGAGAATGATGCGTCAGATTTGTTTGACGAAAGTTTGATAAATGTGTCTGAGACGACAGTTTGCGAACGGGAGGCACTGTAGAAGGACTATTCGCAAAACCCAGGGAAGCGGCACGGGGCGCAGAAGCAATGCTTGAAGCAAACTTCAAACCCTCGGCCGCGTGCGTTGCATGAACAACGCGGCTCAACTGTCCGAGCGGACCCCCGCGCTGTAAATGGAAGCTAGGGTATTCATGCAGAATATGGCATTAACATACAGGGCGGACGATTTCTATTATTTGAGCTTCTGGTAATGACTCAGTCACGGACAAGCATGAAGACGTGCGTTGCCATGCCTTGTTGGTCTGAGCCCTCTCTTCGGAGTTCGCCGGGTGAGGGAGGCTCTGCAAGTGCTTCAGCACCTCAAAAAACCTAGCTCTGCGGAACTTGTGGGCGCTGGAATGGTTGACCCGAAACGGTGAGCTCAAGATTTTTTTCGGTGTATTTCCTCCGATAGGGATCCATACCGCGGATGATCCGCGCTTCTGGGGAAGCACTCCCACATAGATCTCCGCAATCTCCTCTGCACTCCCAAATAGATCTCCGCAATCTCCTCTGTCGATCCCTTGATGATTTTTGAGCGGAAGCCGAAGCCGAGGGGTCTGGTCCCGTCGCTTCAGCCCAACCCGATGCCACAAAAAAGCTTCGGGGTAGGGACCCCCTGGGCTCGCTTCCTTGGCTCTCGACGACCTCCGATTGGAATGCGCGTGACGACCTTTCCCCAGAGCGGGCAGACTCGGGAACGAAGAACTCTCGACTCGAGTTCAAAAAAACCGAAGATTCGACCTCGATGTTGGTGATGGCTGCTATTCCAATGTCAAGCCATTAACTCGTTCAAACAAGAACATCGCTCCGAGATGAAGGGTGACCGTTCCGCGTGCGCTCCACCTCTGCGCGCTCCTGATGCAGGAACTCGATATGAGTTGGACAGAACGTGACGCCTGGAATTCAGCGCGGGCAAAGGGCAAATCCCGTCACGCTCAATGACGCGGAGGCGAGTTTTAGATACCGCGTTCGACTTGCGAATTTCTCTCGCTGCGAACCAACAGCTCCGAACGACGCTTCCCGCGCGAACTTCTACCCCGATACATCGTGAGAGACCCGATCTCCACCAACCCCCCCATCCCCCTCACGGGTAAGAATTCGGAGTGAGGGTCCTCATTCCCTCCAAATGACCGGACTGGTTTGAATCATCGTCAAGGAGGGGTTCAAGGCATACGGACTCCTCCTGCGGAGTTTCGGCCCGTTCTTGGTTCCTCCAACACTCTACGTGCTCGCTTTTTTTTTATCGTGCACAACCTCATGCATGTGTTCAGAAAGATTCCGAAGTCTGGCGGTGCCCGTCGTGAGACGATGGCTGACAGGCTCTCGTGAGTTCCATACTGATTAGTTTCCAATGAATGATTCAAGTTTTAATTCATAATCAGCTGTCGGGATAGAAGGCCGTCCTTCACGAACTCAGAGAGCGACAGGTCTATGATGAATTATGGATTGAAAAATTCCATGTAATGTTCGGGACACCGTCATGTTCCGTGTGTGCGCAGTCAACGATGAAAAGCTTGCCACAAAGAGAGGGGTATCCCTAGTAGACCTAGAAAGAGGTCTTTGGAGGTTTATGGTGAATGTGTATTCGCAGATACAAATGACCGACTCCACCTCATCCAGTCTGAGTACGTGCAAGTCAATGCTATGGATATCGGGGACTGTTTGAGCTGCGGTGTCTGGGACTCACTCATCGATCACAAATCTTCTACCTATCGTATGATCGTTCAAGAGATTGATGCATCGAGGACAGTGCCTCGGAAGATGGATTATAATGCTAGTGCTGGAAAGGATACGGAACCCTTTGGTTCGATGTTCCTAATGCATCCTCCGATCGCTTGACCCCCTCTATCTGCCTCGATCGCGGAGCGGATTGCCGATTTGAGAGCCTTCTCGAGCTGCCATTCACTTTTTGGGTGATTCGACGACTACGAATACCTTTCTGATGATTCTTTGAGGAACTCCTGATCGTTTTCAGTTCCGAAATGTCCACATCCCGGGAGCCGTGATTCCTGATTGCATCGAGAGTCCATCCGAGGATGGTGTTCACGAAGTCCACCGCGGCTCTCGTTCTGTTCTGTTTGGTATGCGTTGATGCGAAAATCAAAACTCGGTTCGCAACGGGCTTCCACCGGATGGATCGCGAGCTCCAGGGAGCACCGTCCATCTGGAATGGGAGTCTCCATTCTGCCGCGCTGTGTCTCAGTGCGTGTCTGAAGCTGAGGTAGGTTCAAGACTCCGGAGAGTATTCCTGAACGACACGTGATCGAGATCTACCGAGCTGTGATTTTCCTCTCATTTCGAAGCTGTCAGTCGCTGACTTATGGTGAAAGTGGATGCACCCTGTATGCGACATATCTCTGTCATCCGGAGGACCGTTTCCACCTGTCACTGGTCAGCGCTCCTGGAGTAAATTACTTCGACTTGAGCAGTGATTCTCGCAAGTTCCATTTGATGATCAATAAAGAAGCTTGTCTGATGTATGGTCGCTGTTTGGAGAAATGCGATGAGGGCTCATGGACTACGACAACGACGACGACAGTGCATCCGCAGAACGACATTGGGAAACACGAAGGTGAGCACCCTCCGAAGCCAGGAAATTTATTTGATCCAGATTCTATCGCACCTGTTCCTTATCGGGCACGTTTCTCTATCCGGCACAAAAATCGCTTTCGTACATCGGCGCAATGATCTCATTTCGTGCCTCCTCTCCAGGAACGTTTCAAAACCCCGTTTCCCATAAGCATGGTTCGAGCTCGAAAGTTTCTAACTTGCACCTATCACCAACGACCACGAGTCCTGGAATGACTGCCTTGAACCATCGTCCAAAGGCAGGAGAACAAAACGTTGTCGACAAGACGAGTGAGGTCGATAATGAAAAAAATCCCAAACCTCTAGGTTCAGAATTCGCGAAGAAGAATAATCATGATAACACTGACAATCGTCTTGACACTTCAACCGATGAGTCTTCCTTCGGAGCGGCCGACAACACAGGCACCACCGTCTCGACGTCTCCGACTGGACCGACCCTACCCCCGGAGAAATTGGGCTCCGGACTCCTGCTCATACAGTCCCCCATGAACTTCGATGACGCGTTGGCTTTCTGCGTCAAGAGCAATATGACCTTGGCGATGCCGCAGAATCAGAAAGAGCACGCCATCTTGGTCAAGGCCATGAAACGCCGAAGTATCGTGCGTATGTGGATCGGAGTCAAGAAAGTTACTGCGTAAGTTCCTGGTGATCCACCTGATATTTCTCTCCCTTGTTTATTCACTCACGATGATGATTCACAGCATCTCACATCAAGGGATTCGCACTCTTTATAGACAAGGAATTCCCAAAATATCTTTGAAACTGTGACATTCTGCCAACTCTCTAAGACCAGAATTTCGCAGAGGCGGAACGGACGCGATCTACGTCGACGGTCGAGCGGTATCGAGGCGTTTACTTCTCTGGGGCGAAGGGCAACCGAACAACTCCCGAGGCGGACAAATTTGCGTAGAAATGAATGCCAGTCTCAAGTATCTGTGGAATGATTTCGATTGCCTCTACAGGACCGCCTTCGTTTGCCGGTAGTCAGGCATTTCGAATCGTCACCTTGGCGGATTCCATCCGATTCCACCCAGGAATTCGTAGTTGGTTTAGATTGGAAATCTTTTCCAGAATCGCTTCCAGGGGTCTGAGAAAAGCTGCGTCTTGTCAATAAAATTCAAGAGGTAACATTCGGAGGACTATTCTATTCTTTTCGGAAACAGTCTTTTCGGCGAGCACGATTGCCTGGTGAAGAGCCAGAACCCTGAGTGCTTGCAGGCGGAGAGTTCTCGGCCTCTTATCGATTGAGCATATTTCCCGTCTAAGGTCTCTCCTCACAGCAAAAAGCTCGCGCATTTCTTTCCGGGCGAGACCCACTCTGAGCTGGATAAGCTCCCTTTGATCCAGCCTTCTCGGAGTACCTCACAATGAGAGAGCAGCTTTCGTCGACGACGGCGAGTCCGATCCGAGCGAGGCACTCGACTCCTGTTCGCGGTGTTCCTCTTCGGAGAATCCTTATGATATTCCGCTGCCTCGAGCATCGACGGAGAAGCGATGACCTTCTGGATTGAAGGATCAATCGAAACTCGTCTTATCGCATAACGCATGGCAGGCCAACGATGTGGCGAGAGGCGCTCAGTCGACACATTACCGGAAAGCATAGATCACTAGCATCAACAAAGATCATTCGCATTTCGCATCTGTGCCTGACGTAGTAGACGACGCTGTTGAGAACAACGACGAGGAAGAAGAAGTTGATGTGAGCAGCAGCAGCAGGCCGATCATCAGAAATACAGACTCACACAAGGATACATATTGGGGGAGACGCAGCGAGTTATCGCCCTAAACGGAGTCCTCAGTTGCTGTGAGCCGATTTTTCCAGTCTCCCATAGTTTTGTGATACCGAACACATCGACCATCGTTGCTGTGAGTACTCAAATCATTCCTGATGATTGAGAAAACTGCGTCGTTTCTGCAGCAGGACCGAGCGTATTATCGGCCTGGATAGAAATACCTGGTCTGAGGTCAGGGAACCGCATCTGTGCCGTTTGACAATGCCAAAGATACTGATCGATCGCCAGATCTGGTTCGTAGGGAGCAGTCAAGCCACTCGGAACTTTTCTTGGGCGAGATTCGGACCTTTGAATCCCTTTCACGGAATACTGCGAAGCTCAACAGCTATGAGTTAATGAATAGACTGTCGTCGATATTTCGCCGACGGAACCATCCATCCAATATCTCCCCCAGGCGTCGGTGGCTCGTCGACTCGGGGTGATCGGAATCCTCCGACCGAGCGAGGTACGAACCCAGGTACTAGACGCGGTCGAAGTACCTTGCCGGGGACCTCGGGGTACCGGAGTGTCGAGCAAAGTGGAGGCTATTCGCGTGCGTGATTTGAACTCTTACTCGAGTCGATGACGTGGACCAAACCACTATGCAGACTAGCTGGATGCTCTGTTCACTAAGATCACGAAGTCCCGATTACCGGAGTGCATCATTCCAGCGGAGAGAGCAGACGCGGATCGAGCAGAGACCGCGATGGTTCTCGGCGAAAGCATCCCTGTCGCTGTGGCTGCCGCTGGTAATCGAATCATATTCTTTCGGTGACCGGGAACCCTTCGATTTGATCATATCTAGTGTTGATGGAGATCCGGCGCGGAGAATAGTCGGGTAGAAAGTTGTTCTCTTCCTAAAAAAGGACGATTGAGCCCTTCAGTCTGTTCCACAGCAGAAGACTCTGAGCTATGTCACAGAGCGGATATTGGATGGGTCATTCCCAGCCCCTTGTATGTCCCCTTCTCGATTCCCCTTGCGTGAAATCATAGTCCGAAACTACCCATATCGACCGGGGTCGATCTGGGGGAAGCCCACGGGAAAGACGACCGTATGTCGGCCATCTGCTGTCTCTCGGACCGCGCCTGGGAAATAGGAGGTCCTCGATCGCAGACAGGATCGGTCCGGTGAATCCTATAAGTTTACGTACGCTTCTAGTGACGAACGACACGTCGATATATCTGCCATACATCGATGATTCTCTTTTTTCCTCGCGACTCTTTATATAGCCCTCTGGAAGACAATACGTGAGGCGCTGGTGATCATGCGCAGAATCAAACCGTCTATACGATCCTTGCTCGTCCCACGCACCTTCTGTTCGCGCGTAATCCTCGGAGAACTGCTGCCGGAAGTTGGACTTTCATGCTTGAGTCCTTAGGAGAAGGGAGTCTCCGATCTCGCGGTAATGATGACAATATACGTAGACTTCAAGGAGGGCGCGATTACCTCAAGAGGGAGTGGGATTTCCCCGCGGGTGGATGAATTCAGAGCGGAAAACCGTGGGAAAGGGGGTCGCGAAGGGAGTGAAAGTTTTTCTTCGGCCTCGAGAGGATGGACTTTCCTCGCACGCAACCATCCTTGAAATTCTCCTCTCTCACCGAGCTGGAAGCCAGAGCTGCTTCGACAGCATGGAAGTCGAATGACAACGATTTTCTGCAAATTCGTTTCCGGCACCCCCAAGAGAATCCTGACCGTCTTCTCGTAGAGAGAGTTAGGCTAACTTCAAAGCTTGTCGCTGAATAGAGTGCTCATGTCTCCTCAGGTGACAATGAATGGACCTGGAGTCACGACGGCGGGAGGCGGAGGCGTGATGTCATCGATTGAGCGCGAGAAAGTCTGTCAATGGATCGCTGAACTAGTCAATCCGGAAACACGGGAAAACTCGTTGGTTGAATTAAGGTGAGTCGAGCTGCCCGACGAGCACCGCCAGGCTGATGGCTACTCTACAGTCGAGGGCATTATTATTCGGATCCGGGGTTCCCTCCCCTTGAAACACCTCAGAGAACTGTTCTATTCCGTTCACAGCAAGAAGCGCGAAGTTGTGCCTGATCTTGCGCCGATGCTCTGGAACTCCTTCGGGACGGTGGCCGCTCTCGTTCAAGAAATCATCAATGTTTATCCATCGATTAACCCTCCTTCCATGACGGCCCATCAATCGAATCGAGTCTGTAACGCCCTGGCTCTACTTCAATGTGTAGCCAGTCATCCGGAGACCAGATCATTCTTCCTGCAAGCGAATATTCCTCTTTATCTCTATCCATTTCTGCACACCGTTTCGAAAACACGATCGTTCGAGTACTTGAGACTGACGTCTCTTGGCGTTATCGGTGCTCTGGTTAAAACCGATGAGCAAGAAGTCATCAACTTCCTTCTCACGACGGAAATCATCCCCTTGTGTCTCAAGATCATGGAGAGCGGTCAGTACACGTTGAATTCATTATTATCATTCCTTTTCATTCATCGGCGTCCGCCCCGTTCCCCAAACGACAATATTGACGACTTGCATGACTGAGCTCTAATCCGATTTTTTTCCTCGTATAGGGAGCGAGTTATCCAAAACGGTGGCGACCTTTATCCTCCAAAAAATCCTCTTGGACGACACCGGTCTCGCATACATTTGCCAAACGTATGAGAGATTTTCGCATGTTGCCATGATCTTGGGGAAGATGGTGATTTCGTTGGCGAAGGATCAGAGCTCCCGTTTGTTGAAGCACGTTGTGCGCTGCTATCTGCGTCTCAGTGATAATTCCCGCGCGAGGGAGGCTCTCAGACAGTGTCTCCCGGATCAACTCAAGGACAACACTTTCAGTAATTGTTTGAAAGAAGAGAGGTATGTTCTGCCCAGTTCAGTCAGCCATTGCTCTCGACAGCTGAGCATGATGATGGACGATGATCCTCGTGACCCACGGCAGCACCCTAGGTGTATTCTTGGTTCAGGCCGTCGTGACAACGAAGGAGACTTCCTCCCCCTCACGAGATTTATTTGTTCGCTTCCAGATCAACTCAACACTGGCTCCGAGCTCTGCACAATAATCTAGCTGAGAACTTGCCCGAGACCATTGTTTATCCCCAGCAACCTGTAACTGCTCAGGCCCAGTCGTAGATTGCGCGTGAATTTACAAAACGAATGTGAACTGTGAACAAACGAACTTAGGGAGACTCTCGATGAGTTTGGTACAAAAATTGTATACTTCACTCGAACATAAACTTCCGCGATGGAAAACGTCCAGGAACACACACATGCGGAACACAAAGCGAGGCAATCGTTTCTACAATTTTCCTCCGTCTGACGAATAAATTTCCAAATCCAGCGAATCTTTACGTTGAGCAGATGAGCACATCCTGCGTTAGGAACGATAGCGAGTATGTCGGCTGAATCAGAATCTTTCGATTAGAGGTCGTCAGACGAAAGAACTAAGTACAGGCGGAGATGGAATGCTAGGCTGGATGAGAGTAACACAGCAGAGAAAAACCGCAACAAAATAAGGAGACCGGAAGAAAAACAAAGCGGAGAAAGGTTCAGAACGATGCATCTTAGGGAAGTTCCTGACCCGACTCCGAGCTGTTCGCTGCGTAACATGCAGATCTTTACGAGCGGACGGCAGATTCCGTTGAGGACGACCACGAGGACAATGATAAGGAAAACGACGTGGAAGAAGCGGATAAACGATGGGGTGGTGGTACTTCATCGAACATAACCGTAGTAGAAAACTGAGCTCGGCTGGCGTAATATTATTTTATGCCTCGTTCCGCCAGCTCATTAGTTGCCATTGCTATTTGTAACATATTTTGTGTATGTGCGCCACTGCCGCCGTGTGTAGTTTTAGTACTCATCAGCTCAACTGCAACGAGAAAGTGACGCGTGTTGTGAGTGCCCCGTTCCACGCCGCAGTGAATCAATGAATTAGTTCATGTATCGATTTTTTTCCTTTTTTTATCCCCATGGTCAAGTAGAATGGATCGATCTCGATTTGTCGCCAAACTAGATTTGTTTTCACTCCAATTGGAATTTCGCTTCCCCCTGAGAGGCCTTTCCCTCTGGATATCGAAAGACGTGAGGCGAGTCTGTATGGGAACGGGATCCTCACCCGGAATAAATGAATAACAACCTCCGATGTGCTCGTGTTTTCAATCGACGAGGTTCTTTGCGAAGTCGTGACTTTTCGGCAATAAATACTCAGTACGGGATGACAAGACACATCAATGAATACTCTCCCGGATGATGTTCGACGATGCTCCAGCTTTTATCGAAGAAACAGGCACTACTTTTTGTGGGTCGCGGGTCTCGTTTATCTAATCAGAATTGTATCAGCGCTCCCGTGCGGTCATTCGGGCACTCCTGTGAGAGCTGTGCCCGTTGTCCTCGACGTTTTGGCTCGAGTAGGATGGATTGATGGATTTTCCGGAAGACCTTTTCGGAATGGAAAAAGAATGTCGCATTGCTTTCGGCTTTGAGTTGTTGACAGAGCTTTATCTACACTATCAGAGGGCTCTAATGGATTTCTGAGTACATCTCGTTTCACTTCTTCAATTCGCTTTCGGCTTCGAGAGAGACGATCGAGTCGCTGAAATGAAGGATAGACTCATCTTCTATGTGGTGAAATCGGAATCGATCCCGGATTGAATAGGCGGTTCGTGTCATCCGCTACACTCAACCTCATACTCATGTTTGTTGTCGAATTTCATGAAAGTCTTGTCTCATCTGCGAGCAAATAGCTCGACGGATGTAGTTGACACATTGTGAGACGGAAGGAGCTCTAAGTGACTCCGTGACAGAACGAGGGGTCGACGGATAATCCGTCGAAACGAGTGTCAGTGACACAAGGGCGAGCTCTTCGCGATCGAAATATGAAGCGATCATCCTGATCGCGTAGCCAGTGGAAGCACATCCTCCGAAATTGAATCGTCAGCAGCTCGTGGACATAATTTCAAGATATGAGAGGAGCATGTCAGGTCGCCTGCCGAGTCTAGTTGTCGAGCAACGATCTAGCGACAGGCTGTCATGTGAGAAACCGGGCTATCATCTCATTGCACGCGATGCCCGGATTCGTGCGTCGATATCATCCGTCGCTCGACCTTGAAAAACTCGAGCATATCCAGATATACTTGGAAGAGTGACAATCTAGAGATGATACTCATGCTTTGAGATTCGAAGCGGAATTCCGTCATGTGGAGGAAAATCCCTCTCCGGACAAGAGTCCTGAGGGACCCGCGGATCATACGCCGCATTCTCCACGATCGAAGTCACACGGAGACGTACGGCTATGTGGATGACATAGCCGGCGGATACAAATCATCGATATTTTCTTGAATCGAGTGAGAGACTCGAGAGGCGGCGATGCCATATCCCTGCTGGATGAGGGAAGAACAGTCAGCTGATCGGAGGCGCCAAGATGCTCCTATTATGCTTGTGGAGCGAAGCGCGGATGCGGTTGCCTCTCTGACTAATTGGTTCAATGCTGCCTAGATGCGTCGGATCACCTAATTCCTTTCATGAACTATCGTCGTCACAGAGCGATATTCTTTTTCAAAGGACTCCTCCGGTCCATCGTTCCGTCAGAAGGCATCAACTGCTCAGACACTCCGTAGCCGTTCCCACAAGAGGGCCATCTGTGCATCAAATACATTCCTAGCTCACGCAGCAGATCTTGTCTGTTCCGAGCTCAGACGCACTTGCTTTGCCGTGAACTGCAACATTCGCTCCGGAACGTTATGATTAATGATTCCTCGTGTGGCGTCTGGAGAGGAAGGGCGCACTGCGAATTATACCCAATACCGAACGATCCCTCAATTTCTTCATATACCTCAGCATGCTTCGTACTAGCTTCTGGCAGTCATTTCGAAGTACTCCGGCTTGGATCACGCTGGAGAGTAGAACATGTTCATGGATTATTCACTGAACGAGCGCCTTAAGATGTGATTTTTAAGATCTGCGCCGCTTTACTAATGTCGCTGAGCTGACTTTCGAGTATATCTAAGCACCGATAAGCCAAACCTCATCGAGATTATTCCCATCGATCTTGACCTGGTAGAATGTAACATTCGAAATATTTCGGGAGTTTCTCTCGTCCACTCTACGTTCCATGAGCATTCAATGAATTTCGAGAGTTCCAGGGACCTTAAACGCTCGAACGGAGGACAGACTATCTCCTCTCTTTCGTCATCCTCGAGCGAGCTGCTCGGAGGCTCATGGTGCTTGGAGCCGTAGGCAGCAGGTGCTGCGACCCAATCATCGATCATTCTCGAAATCACTTCGTGACGATCCGAGCCCTATTGCGGTTTTTTCCCTCCGGTCCCGTGGAAACGCCTATGCCAACTGATTCGCTCTACATAGATTACAAAACCCTCGGACAATGTCGAGACAGTATACTCAACGCCGTTGGACTCCTCCATTTAAGAAAGTTGTATCGGGTATAAATTAAATGTAATTTTATTAAATCAGCGAATCTATAAAATTTCTATATGAGTCCCGTGCCAGCAAAATCTTTGGGGAATTCTGTTTCGAGTGGTCGCATGTGGATTGTACGTCAACGCTCCCTTCAAGATCATGGGTCTTACAAAAATATAGGTCATCTTCAAAAACTCTGTCTCGTTGAGTCATCTTCCGACAATGTTCTCCTCTCGGATCTATCTATGCCATATGTACATGAAAAACCTTCGAAAACCATCGACCGTCTGAACTCTGCGCAAATATGGGCCGAGTCGATGGCGAGGCCGCGACCTTGACGATAAGTGGGAGGAAAGTTTTTACAAAGTCTGTTGTATGCACTACGTTTTCCAGACAAACCCATGGCTGATTGTGGCAATCGGCATAATCATTAATCCGAAGGGAACACGGCTCCTCGAGCAGAGGGACAGCAGGGGGAGAAATGTGTTACGGACAATTTACATCGGGCTTCGGAAGTTTTGAATTCGGGGAGCATGGAATTCCCGACAAGTAGATCAATCTACTTTATCCTGCGGTACGCTGACGAGGAGTTTCTGTATGAAGGCGGTCACCGATTCAATGCCGTTCTTGTAGAATTCGGGCTTATCTTTCCATAGAATCGTGAGGCAGAACACTGGAATACCGGAGAGACAGATGGCGACACCTATAAGATTTTCCAGAGGTTCCGAGAAGAATGGCAACACCACCAGGCAGAACGAGACTACGAAGAACAGAATGGGCAAGATTATGTTCACCCGGATCGGTCTTTTCAGGTCAGGCCTCTTGATGCGAAGCCACAGCAAGCCCCCGACGGAGAGCATGACGAATAACGCTTCACTGAACGCCGTGTAGTTTATCAGTATTCGAATGTCAGTGTTCGATAGATAGATCAAACTCAAGGCACACAAGAAGACCAGCGAGGGGACTGGAGTGAAGTAGTCGATGTTGATCATCGACAACACGTTTGGCAAGTGTCCCTGACGAGCTCCGACGAAGAATAATCGCGACGATGCGAAGATCCCTCCATTCAGACCCCCGAACGTGGAGAGCGCGACGAAAATCGGCATGATCCAGTGGAATTTGCCGAAGACTTGTTGAGAGAAAGTGACGGCGACCGCGTCGGAGACCAACACTTGGTCAGCCGATAATACAATGAAATATGAGATATTCGCAAACAGGTAAATGATCGTCACAGTTGGCAGTGAGATGTAGATGGCTCTCGGTAAGTTCCGGAATGGATCTTTGAGTTCTTCAGTCACGAAGTTCAGATAATTCCAGCCGGCGAACGAAAACAGCCCAGAGTAGAACGACAGCGCGATTTTCGACGGATCCGTCGTTGACCCAACCCAGAAGTTGGCCAAGTTCGCCGTATAACCCTGCGCGAGTCTCACGGCGCCGGCGATAATGACGAGCAGAAGGGCCACGACTTTAGTGAACATGAGCCAATCTTGGAGTTTAGTCGCCCACTTGACGTTATAACAGTTGATGAAAGTCAAGAGGCAGATGATCGTCGCAGCAATCAGTCTCTCGGCGTTCACTGGAGGCGCGCAGCCCTCGAAGAACGGCTCCAGGATGTATTTGGCGAAAGCGAGGCCGGCTATGGCGTTCGAACTCGGCTGGATGATGAGCAGGCAGACCCAGAGAAATAAAAACGCGGGCAACGCACCGAACGCCTCGTGAATGTAAGCGTAATCGCCGCCGGACTTGGGTATCGCCGTGCCGAGCTCAGCGTAGCACATGGCGCCCACCATCGAGATGATACCACTGCCTGCCCAGACAACTAGGGCCATACCCGGCGAACCGGCCTTGCCCAGAACTCCCGTGGGAGATATGAAAATACCGGATCCGATGATGACACCCATAATCACACTGACTCCATTGAGCAGGCCGAGCTGTTTCTTGAGTTGGATTCCACCACCTGATGCCACGGAGTTTGTGTCCGAGCCCTTGATGATAGCGCCACGCGTCGAATCCGTCGGTGTCGTCACCGACGACGAGGGACTCTGCGAACCACCGCGCGTATCCGATCCCATAAGGGCATCTTTCACTCCCGGTTCCGTGGTCATGATCACTGCGATTGAGGTTGTCGGCACGGCAGGTCGATGATCTATCTACCTGTGTTCACTTCCGGTCGTTCGAGCTGCCGGCGGCGGGTCGGGCGAGAATTCTTCGTTCGGATCTATTCTACCGCTCGAAAACTCAAATCCCATGCGCACGGGAACGAACGAGCCGCACAGTCTTCGCTTGCGCTCCCGACCGATTTGGGCAACGGCGACGAGGCAGCGAGTCGGTGGTCGCGGCGGTGGCGGGGAGGCGTCGAAGAGCGAATGGCTCGGCTGCAGACGTATTAGTTAGAGTTGCATCAGAGCTCTGCTGAACCGCATGGTTCGAAGGGTGCAGACATGTTGTCGGCAGTCGTTTCGTTGAGGCCACAGACGGCAAGGGTAGGCCGAGAGGGAGGGAGGAAGGGAAACCGGGGCCTTCCCCTCTGCTCTCGGCGGACGTTTGGTCTCCGTCTTCTCGTCGATAAGCACGCGGGAACACCGACGACAAAACATGGCAATATCGCGGTGTACATTTGAACGATGTTCATGATTGAGGATGGAGAGAAGGTTTGGGTTATGCTCACTCGAGGAATCGACTTCAACGATCACACTGATCACAGGTAGAACGAAGTACGGCCACAACGCTGTTCGGACCGATCATTAGAATGATTCGCTTCGTCGAGATCTGTAATGAGCGGAATCTCTCTCTCCCTCTCTCCTCTATCTCGCTTTCTCCTCTCGGTCCGTTTATGACGCCCCACCTCCGGAGACACAAGTCAGCAACTTCCTTCGGTGTCGTCGTCGCATTCGAGGAAATGAGCCTAGTTGTTGAAAAGGCACCATCGCCATACCGTGATCGACACCGACGATCCAAGTCGGCGCTTGTACGTTCGGCGTCACGTGAGATCTCAAATTATTGTTCGACGGTATCGACGAGAAAGCGCGATCTCGAAGTAGAAAAACGAAGAGACGGCATCGGCAATCGGCACCCGACCGTCTGCGTCGGCGACGTTTGGAGACAGGGCAGACTCGGCTCGACAAAGGGAATCGGATATCGCATTGAAAGATGAAACCAGCTCGTTTTAGCTCTCCGCTTGAATGGAAACAACCGCTCGCTCGCTATTCGATAGCGTGCCAGGATCCTCAGGCAGAGCTTTCTGAATTTTCGATCTCAATTCGGGAAACGCCGCCGGAGCGATGTGTAGGTATATGGGTACGTGACGGCGGGCTCCTCGCTCCGAACCTGCATGAGCATCCGTATCCTCGAGAGCTACTTTGTGAGAAACTGATCCCCCACGTCAATCAATTACGAATTATTATTAGCTCCGAAACGAGAGGGGCAAAATTATGCTATCAGGGGTTCCACGACGACTGTTCTCGCTCTCCACACGCTCAGCACTTCTGGGAGTGATTTCAATGTACTCAGGTCAGGCTCCTGCATATTGAGGCTCTGGATCGATATCGCGACAATCACACCCGTGCTCCATCACCACGACGGTCAAGCGACAGCTGTTGGTGGGGGCGGGTCTGAATGGGGAATATCACCGCGAACCTATTACCCTCATACTAGCGAGGCATTCATTGATTTGATGGTCATCGTGCACTGTAAGCGATCGGAGAATTTCGAGCGAGAGCAGGCTGAATACTCGGAACTGGAAGTCGCTTCCCTCTGGTCGACTCGGAGAACGCGACAGCGTCAACTTCTGCGATGCCCAGAGGGTATGCGTCGACCCCGACATTTGATAGATAACGATTCCTAACCGAAGGAGCTCACAACGTCCAAAGGACCTTGTAGCCCTCATGCGATCCATGCGCTCTGTCTATTGAGTTCGTGAGTCGACAGTGACGCAAGGAGACACCGATAAGAGGAAGAAAACCGTCGGTCCTCAAAGAGCATAGGAAAGGTCCAAAATCTTGCTCGGTTAGGGGATTTTTTCCGGAAAATGTTCCTTATTTTTCATTCCGGCGTCGGGGATGAGCGAGATCTGATCGAGCGACCATATGGCTCGGCTTGCAGCAGGCCAGTAGATTCTCCAGCCTACTCGGCGAAATTTTGAGTGTATCACAGCATTCCGGATCGGCCGGACATACAGCACGCATGCTTGACTAAGCTTTTCGGGATCGTCGAAATCAATGATATTGACCCATGGTACTTCGCACCTTATTCTTAATCGGAGTATCTTCCTAGCTCCCTTGCAAGCTTCTCGCAAGAGGATATGCTGGCATGATAGATGAATGGATATGTAAAGTCCCGGAGATAGGCTTCTTAGCATTGGTGATGACTCCGGCAAATTGAGTGCGGGCCACGCTGGAGATGAAGAGGCTCAGGGCTGCATTTTGTAAAGCGGCAATGTTCGCACCTGGAGCCCCAGAGTCCCCAAATTCAAGACTAGAGGTCGCAAGTCCGTGAATTCCAGTCACATTGTATCTGGTAGCGAGTGGTCCGTCTGACCTGGTCCCGAGTGTCCATTCCGTTGATGTCATGGCCGAGGGCTCGTAGGAGCAAAGATCTGACTCCCGGATTGCTGACCAAGGAATATCGTCCCTCTGAGGGGGGCGAATATCGGATTCTCGAAACGGCGGAAAATTCGCTGCTGTCGGATTGGCTCTCTGCTAACATTCTGGCCAAGCTGGTTCAATCCCACGCCGCGCCTTTCCTTTTAAGGTCCGCTTTACTCCCTCGACATCTTACAATTAGCTAAACGAGAGCATGCTGGTACCGGAATCCTAAGATGCTTTCTATCCGCCGATTGGAGCGCGTTCGGGGAGGAGAACTTCCGAATATTCTCCGTGGAGATGGAGGATAGTACAAGTATTGATTGCCGCATGGACTCAGAATAATTTTCTCTCACGATAGCTCTTGTGCTCCCGTGTCGAATATCTTGGAGCAAAAAAGTGATTCCCTCCTCTCTCTCTGAAACCGATGGATTGCCGATAAGACTATCCTGCATGGGATCTACCCTCCAAAATCTCTTCCGCACTCAGACCTTGCCCACCAGGTGAACATTAATGGGCGGCTCGATTCATTCTTAAGGGTCAGCGGCCACCCCGAGGAATGGATAATGTATTAGTCTTCCGTTCTGAAATCTGGCCGTTTTCAAACGAGCTCGGGGAATCTCCACGTTGCCACAGGTTGGATTCACCCTGTATACCCATAAATCGGACCATCCGCTCCGAGATGGCTTTCGAGAGTTAACCTACCTACCTGGGATGACTTCCCTCTGACATAGTCTGTCATTCGAATCTCGCGGGCACGGTTGTGCAATATTTGGATGGCCCGGAGCGCCCCCTGGCGGACGTCGTGCCTGACGTCTAACAGGAATCGTACAATGTTTCCCGGAGACAAGTGGTAACAGAAACAAAAGGATTATAATTTCTCTCGTGCGCTCATCGCTGCTCTGGCGCATCTCAATCCTGGAGTTCCGGAATTGCCAAGACCCGAGTGAATACGAAGAGTAACATGGCCAGGCCCTAGAGCGCAGTGATGGCACAATATCGATTAAGCCGAAACTATCGACATCATAAGCAGGATTAGGATGTAAAGGTGAGAATTACCCGGTCCGTGACCACGCTGACAGATAGACAGGGCTCCAGAGAGCCGCAAGGAACACTTGACGATGGCGACAAGGTGTGTAAATGGTTCCGATGTCGACTCGAGGGAAAGCCGTGGGATGTGTCACTGCTCTCAGTCGGATCTGCTGAGAAGTACGACGTCACGACCGAATGTCCTCTGCATCAGCATGTCGAGGACCGAGCGAGAGACTCCCTCCGGCGACAAGTTTACCCGCGAAGTCAAGTTTCTCTAGAGGAGATGCCCCCTTCCGAAAAAATTCAGACGTGTTAGTTAGCCAGAATCAGCTGAGCGACTTCTCTGGGAAACTTGCTTGCTGAAAATACGATGCTTTTGTCGAGACAAGAAATTAACTCACGAAATTCGCGCAGCGTAGGGGATTCTCCTACATCGATCGATTGGACTGCCGCTGCCGATTTCATGATGGCTTTCGGCCCATTAATATTCGGGCTTGTGTCAACTTTCTGTGCGGCGGCGATACTCCTATGCCGCTACGGGAACCCTGCGAAGCATCACGTTGCCGTAACCGGTAGCGTCTTCTTGGCGTGGTACTTCTCGATGTTGATCATCATCCTAATGCCTCTGGATGTATCGACGGTAAGTTGATTTTTATTCTAGTCAGTGGCCTTCACTCATTTTGTTCCAGCCCCTGCGGTAGTTCGTGGTATCGGATCCACGGGATCTACCTCGAAATTTTCAAACCGTCGCAAATAAGGGAACCTTTCGAGGGTACCATGATGTTCTTTGCACCGAGTAGATCAATGATGCAACTTCTTTTACAGACCGCGTACAAGCAGTGCTTAGCTTACAACAATCTGTCGTCGGTCCCTGAACATCTCCCTCACGGGATCCAGGCAGCGGCTCTGACGGATCTTCGAGCGTATCCGGGACCGAGACCCGGCCTGCTGTTCACTGGCAACGAAACGAGTTCTGCCGCCACATCCTCGATGAGGCCCACTCCCCCCACAGGTATACACTTATTCTCACTCAGTCAGGCCTATTAAGCCCCTGGACCTCTCGAATCAGCTCGAACTCCTTACGAGGTTCATCACGAGCGAGGCCTAGGTTCTTGATTGAGTTCTAAACCCTTCTCTTGCTCCCCGAAGATGCCAACCAAACGAGCTCGACCACACCGGGTAGCGTGGATCCCGCTGAGAAAAACGTGACCGACGTGCCCAACGTGACCACAACGTTGCCGCCGCATCCGATAGATCCTTGCATGATACCGTGGAGTCATGTCCCTGGGAACGCGTTCCCAGTCCTGTGGCGGATAGTTTATTGGAGCTCTCAACTGCTCACCTGGTTAGAAACATTGCCTCGAGTCTTCTATCGAGGGCACCTTGCGATCGAGGCTCTTCCCTCGATGGGAAGAAGGAGTTTGAATAGTGATCCATCGTAGGCTCGAATTCGATCACGACGGGAATGTTTTCAGGATTATCCTGCCCCTCATGCAATCGTACTCGACGGCCGGCGACTTCACCACGACTGGGAGGCTTAAAACAGCTCTGTATGAGAATGCAATCTACTACGGAACCTATCTATGCATCTTTGTGGTGCTATTGGTTTATCTCGTCATCCACGGGATCGGGCTCGACGCGTAAGTTCTCTATCGACACAAATCTGGGATAATCGCTCTAAATCAAATAGAGGGAAGTTCAGGAATCGATACTCACGATCGCTCACACTGGAATTCGCAGGGGGAAACTCAAGGTCGTATGCATAACAGCCGCGAATACCTGGGGACTGTTCCTTCTAGTCCTGCTGCTTGGCAGTGGTCTCGTAGAGTTACCGAGGACGATGTGGAACCTCTCCCGGAAAGGGTACACACTGAGGTAGGCTTCCGATAGAAAGCCGAAGGAAGTGGAGCGGGAATGTGCCGAACGCGTACCGGATGACGTGAAGTCAGAGCTGGTCAGGCTAGGCTCGTCAGTATCAAACGAGTCAGCGTACATTATTGATCCTCGCCCACAGGTATTTGTACTTCAAGGCCGCGAAACTTTCCATGGAGAAATGTGAAACCGAAGAGAAACTGGATGATGCCATCGAGGTTTGTTATTCGATATGTTTGAGGTGTTCCTGGTCGATCGTTTCGGAAGCAACTTGGCGACCCTGTCTCGAATCCCGGCAGTGATTAGATTATTTCACAGAATAATGAATGATATAATATTGAATAATGAAGATGAATGTTCTAAATCCACTCACAGGAACTGCGCCAAGTCAATAACTGCATCACGAGTGGGAGCCCGCTTCGGTATTACGTGGACGTTATAATATCGAAGATTCCCCGGGACAGATGGGAGGACAATCGCAGGAACCGAACAACCGCATCTGGAGCGAGCGTTTCGGAGAAAAGTCTAGTCAGACTCCATAAGCAGGTCAGCCTCCGCTTTCTCCTCCAGGTCCAGCGGATAATCACCGAGGTCAAGCTGGACCGACCGTCCCTACGAGGGTCATTCTTAAATATCATCCGTCGCTTCCGTCCGGTTTCAGGTCATCAAGGCCATGCAGGGTGTGACGCGAACCCAAGTTCAATGGGATACCCTGCTGCAAGACATTCTGTATTGGGAGGACATAACCAAGAACGAGACCAGTGGAGAGCGGAGATTCAAGAGTTCCCTCGAGTACAGGCCGCGCGGTCAACTGACCAAGCTCTTCTGCACGCCGACTGTGGAGTGGTACTGGCGATGTATGCTGAGGTCCCTCCTCCTCCGGGTCCTCGCCGGGCTCTTCGCGGTATTCACGGTGCTCCTGATATTCTCCGAGGTCACATTCTTCATCCGACAGCCAATAATTTCGATTATTGGCGTAATCCACCGATCGCTTGAAGCTTCCCACAGTTACTTGGGACTCGAGCTCCTCTGCGTCCTCGCCCTGGGATATCTGTGTCTGTGCACCTACTTCACTGTGTTCAAAATTCGTATTTTCAACCTCTACTATCTCGTACCGAACCAGCAGACTAGTGAATACTCGCTGATTTTCTCGGGAATGTGAGTACAGATTTGTTCTTCGATTCTCATCTCTACACCTAAGCGCCATGAGCTCATGCTCCTCGAGCTGAAAACTCTACGTATTAGAGCTGAGCCGAATTTGCTGTCTCACAGGATGCTTTGCCGGCTGACGCCGCCTTTGTGCTTGAATTTCCTCGGGATGATCCATCTGGATCAGCACATTTCTCAAGAACACAACCGAGTCGAGACAGCCTATACTCAGATTATGGGTCACATGGATGTGATCTCGATCATCTCGGACGGTTTCAACGTCTATTTCCCAATGCTCATCTGCGTGTTGGGCGTCGCCACATATCTCAAATGGGGGAGCAAGGTGCTGCATGCTCTCGGTTTCGAGCAGTTCCTCAGTGATGACGACTTGACGACGGACCTTGTGGACGAAGGACGCGATCTGGTCAAGAGAGGTGTGAATCGTTAATTATTGTAGCTCACTGAAAATCGGGCTGATATCGGATAGATAGAACGGCAAGTGCGGAAAATGCTGACGAGAGCTCGGAAATTTCAGAAAAGAATCGGCGTCAGCGTCAAGAAGAAAACGAAATCCGTCGGAGGCAGCGACTGCAGTCGGCTCCAAGCCAAGAGTATAATACCTCTTCACGCAGTGAGTAACTAATGTAGGTGTTTTCGTTCGAATTGTCCTGGGTTTCGCACTCGGTCGCTTGGGTCTCGTCTGCGAATCCCCACGGCTGAAACATCAATGCACTCGGTGGAGGGAGTACTGGAGGTACAGGATGAAGGTCAGCACGGCCTAGAAATCATGGAACGAGTCGTCTAGACTCAGTCCTCTTCATCCATGATACACGATAAAATTCAAACAGATCTCTTGGTGCTTGATTCGTATTGGTTCCGAGATCCTCCCGTTTGAGAATATATTATTCTTCGAGGCAGTCTGTCATCCTTGTCGCTCGTCGGCGAGCCGTGATGGAGGCCGGAAAGCCCGGCAAATGGTCGGGCTATTGCTGCCTCATCAATCAGACACAAATATCAGTCAGCGAAAGAGTTCCCTGGTTCTCTGGAGTTCTTGAAGTTGCAGCAGAATTCTCCGAGCCGAGAGTTCTTAAGCCCCGAGCGTTTGAGGGATGATTACACTCGGAGTGTCGAATTTAAATTTTTTGTTGGCCGCGAAGGAGCGCTGGAGGAATCCGCGGGCCCTATCTGAAGTCCAGTATCTCTGTGAATTCATGCTCTAGCGCTGGAAGAATTTACAATTTCAAGGAGCATTAATAAATCACCGTCCTTCCATCGGACTTCATTAGCTAACAAATTCTCTCGAACGATTGCGTATTCTACTATTCATATCTCTCTCCAGACCGCCACCCGATCGGAACGAGCAGCTCGACGGAGAGCGCTCGGGCAGAACTACTTTCTGGAGTGGGAGACACTCCCGACTACAGCTCCAGAGACTTCTCACCGACAGAGCGATGGAGCACCAATCGACCGCCAAGCAACCTGTTCGACGACGTTTGAAACCTCGGCAACTAAGGAGCTCATGCTACGAATACATAGAAATATTTATTGTTCAGTTTTCGGAGGAAAAGAACTTAGCCGGGGATCTAAATGGATAGGCACAGATACATGGGGAGGCACTCCATGTCCAAGGAGCCTATTCCATGTTCACATCGTGATTTCTACAAAGAAAATTCTGCAATCTCGTACCGGTTATAGTTTTCTAGCTTTTTGTTCAATTATTTCCATTCAGTGTCAAACAGCGCCATAGCGGTGTCATTTGCGCCCGGAGGTCGGTATCCAGAATGTACAGAGCTCAACTGATTTCATCCCGACTCAGTTGACGAACGACTGTATCATAAGCCTAGTAATACCAGCTGAGTGAATTCAGCGCGGAGATTCTAGATGATCGAATATAATTTCCATTCAGATGATTGGCAACTACGCATGGGGGACATTTCTTCCGAATCAGCGTGGATATGTCTTTGCGGAGTTATCTTTGTGACTTGCTTCGAGTTCAGATCAGTGACCCCGCCGACAGGTTCGGCATTCTCATCTCCCTGAAACCCTATGCGCGCAGAAGAATACGCAAGGATCGCTTCCTCTCGATCGTGTACAAAAATGTGATAATTTTAATATAATAAAAAGAGAGCAGCATCGTACAGACTAGATCGAGTACCCGTGTCCTCCTCAATCAGATTTGTTATTAATGCAGATATTGCTGCATACCGAAGATCGGTCTTGATGTCAATCTGATTCTTGCGAATTCAGAGGTGTTTTCGAACTCGTCTCCGTCGAGCGGTTGCTCTAAGGAATGACTTTAGACCCCGGGCCTATGCGAGAGGAATTCCGCGCTGACTGGAAGGAACCGGATAAGTTGTTCTGACGCCATACAAGAGACTATTTTTTAGCGTAAGGTGGGAGCAGCCTAGACTGGTCGCATCATGGGGAGAGTCTCGCAGAGCATCGAGCAGCGCTCGATGCGGACATTCGATGACTTCGACTAATTGCTCATCACTCCTCATGTTCAAACGAATATCTCACCATAAGTGACCGATTCATGAGGAAGGAAGGGGATCTTTCCACGGGAGAATCGGATATTCTGTCCCCTCCTGTATTCGAGGGTAAGGACACGCTCCGGCTACCCACCTTCTGAAGCCCTAACCTTCAAGAGAAGTGCTCTCGGGACAGAATCCTGGCTCGAACAAAGACCTTGAACTCCGATTGATCCATGTCCTTCCTCGAGCAGAGGACACGAAATGTTCTCCGGACACCGACACGGTCGACAGGGCTCATTTGCGACGGCCCACGATTCATGATGCGAGAAGGAATCATTGTGTCGGCCTCTAGGACTCCACGTCCTGTTCGAAATCAATCTGAGAAACGCACAGAATTAGAGTGAGCTTTCTCATGAGGGCACATGGGCAACATGATAATTCTATGATTGGTATTCACGGCAAGTCAGTGTTCCCGATAGAAATCGTCGTTCGCTCGTCAGCCAGGTTTTCTGAGAAGGTCGGACGCCTTTGATTGGTAGTGTGACCCGATCCAAGCATCAATCATTGTACGTTGTTCGACTACAGAGCATCAGATTATACGTTGGTTGCGAGAGGAAATACAACAAGCGACAAGTGTATCACAACAGAACACAATCTGAGAGATGCCTCTGATTACCTTGGTTATCGAACGCGCGCGCATTCTTCGTGAGAGGAATTCGCGGCTTAAAGCATGCTCGGGAAGCATTCGCGAACGAATCTTCGAAACTTACAATGAACGGGGAAGCGGCTGTGATGCAAATGAAAATATTTGTAGCTGAACGTCTCGAATATATCCAGCCCTGAATTTCAAGCGGTAAAAACGGAGTTTGAGTCATCGAGCGAGGAGCTCAGGCGGATATATGGAAGGGTTGAAACTCATTTCCGAGACATATTTGCGCTGATGAATGTCTGTAGATATTTTTATTGAGCCTACGAACCACAAAAACTCGGAGAATCGAAGACGACAAACAAGTGATACATTGGAAAATCGACACCGATGGACCGTTGCTCTGACGGAATAAGCGGGTGAGGGAATGACGAACTCTCAGTGCCGGCGACGAGTGAAACTTCGATTCGTTAGCTCGCTGACGCTTCTCGAGATCTCCGAAGAATTCCAAGTTTTGACGCAAACCGCAAGCGACTTCAAAGCGACTCGGAACATGTAAGATTAGGATTCCATCAGTAGCCGTCAACAAGATTGGTCCGAAACAAGGGTCAACAGCAAGGTATGACAGCGGATCCCCGTTTGCCTACAATCAAGAAATCGATATCCAACTCCCTCGCTGAATTTCGGGAAAATGGTCGGGAACCGGGGATACAACATTGAGTCAGACTGAGAGCGAAAACGTACGTCTTCTCGAAATCTCCCTGTAGACGAAGATCTTCGCAAGATCCAGGGGTCCGGACCGCGATACGGCCATTCTGAGAAGTCTCACCTTACAACGGACACCCGACCGAGAGTCGCTAACGCCCCATGAGCAAGGTGTTCACGGAAGCCGTGGAATATCCCTTCCGTCGATCGCTCGCATCGTCGACTTCAAGGGGCTCATCATTCCTCGCACCAATCCGGTGTCGGGTTCTTTTCGGTGGAACTCTGATGACGACCTCTGGGTGACCTTCTATCTTAGTTGAAAATCACGTTCTGAAGAATAACGGTCCGTCGTCGTAGTCTTCTCGGAGCCTAGTGCCAAATACTGGCTGTCACGTTTGAGCATTTGCTCATACTTTTCTCCTCTCGAACGAATTCCCTACAATATCGCAGGAATCCAGAGCCATACACGTGAACAATGGGTGGGTGTAGCGAAGGAAACTGTAGCATTCCCGAAAAAATCTCGTATGCCGATTTCACAAATGAGTGGTACGGGCACAATTGTTTCTTCTTACGGAATAATTTTTCGCCCATTACAGCTGGAAGCAGGCGGTCGCGAATGCTTCCCAGATTGCATGGCATGAGAGGACACCGAAGGTGATGCTGGAGACAAGCGCCATATTCGGAAAAATTTCGCCTTCCATGTATCATAAACCTGATAATAGCTCGGCCAGACAGCAAACTCAACAGATTACAGTGTATCGAGCTAAAAGCGAGAATTCGTATAGGGGAGAGCGACTCTATTCGGCGGATCATTCCAGGTGTATCGATCAGAACCGGTGCCAACTGTCGTCCGACAAGGAATGATGATGGGGTACGCTGCTCGAGCCCCGTTTTGTTCGGGGTTCGTCCGTACTTAACATCACGGAATCGAAATATGTGTTGTTTTTTTCTGTGACGCAAGTGGGCCGCTATTAGGGAGCCTTTACACCGGGGTCGCAAAAGACGCACCCTAAAGTGCTGCAACACTGATATCGAGTTATAGACGGACTCGAGGATTGCCAGTATGACGTAAAATTGACCGTGCATGCGCGCATTCCTTTCTACTTGAGCGAAACACCTATGGATTAGGGAGAAGCCAATCCTGACAGGAATGATCGCATGCATTATACAGGCGTCCTGGATGTACTCCCGTCACCGCTCCGGTGAACCTTCCATCCGGAGTCCGAGAAGAAAGAAACCGATTCCCCAAGTCGACCAGACATTCATTTCAATTCGACGAGACGGAACTTTTGCAGATCATCCCCAGAGTCCCACTCATAATTAGGGGGGACACCATCGAGCTCATAAGCAATAACTGGCGAGCAAACCGTAGAGATCGTCCAGTCGACGGGATCCTCCATATGCTATCTGCGCGAGGTTGGGACTAACGCGCGAAAAACGGAACTCTTCTCGCGCAAGTGATCGGGGAGGGTGCATGTGAGCGAGCTCCCTCATCAAACAATCGCTGGAATTCTGTTCAAATTACCGCTCTGAAGCTTTGAGGGTTCGAAACTTTTCACAAACCAGTTCAGCAGAGCGGAGGTAATAGAAGAAACCCGATCTCCATCATGATGGGGAAGTTTATTCGAGAATAGATGATTCCGGTAATGATGCATTAGGCGGCACGAACCTCGAATCTCCACCTGACCTGTCAACCCAGCGGAATCGTCGAAATTTCGGGGGCTCTCGAGAGCTTGACTGAAATTGCTCCTTGCTGAATGTTGCTCGAACAGGTGCAGCGGCTCGAGCGTTGCTTTTCCGCGCGACCGAGCGTTCGTGACCTTCGAGAATGCCAACGTAACAGAATTGTATCGACCCATAAAATGCAAGCGTCATAAATCTCACTGACGAAAATCTGTCCCGAATGTCACGACAGGTTCGATGCGGTGGGTTCCGCCGGCCCCGAAAACTACGATATTTCAGCGTGGGTGTTGGCGAGCCTCCGTGGGTAAAAACTAGCAGTTCATGCGATAGGCGGTCCGCTTATCGAAAGTCTAACAAGATTTTCGTGCTTGTGAGATGCTTGTACTCTTAAACGGGATTCGCGTTCGAGACCTGCAAGGTTTTCGTTCAAATCAGTGTTCACCTTCCCCGACGAAATTTCTTTGATTCGCCCCCAAGTCCCTGACTTCTCTTCGAAACAATCCGTCGGAATCTCACTGGTCCCCTTCCGAAAAATACAGGCACCATTCCAATGACGAAACTCGAAAGCACTGGGGCATAGCGATGACAAGTAGGGTTTTATGAGGATCCGCATCCGGTTTGACGTTGCGCACCACAATCTGAAGGACCGTCCGGTGCAGTATCTTCGCGAGCTTCGCGCTGCTCAGCGAAGTGATTAATAATTGAATAACAGTTCACCAATTTGTCCGGCTGATCAGTGGAGCGGTCGTGCGTTTATCCGGCTGAACTGCGGTAGTTCTGCAGCTCCTCGGAGCGTTTGATTGATTTGTCAACTGGGTCAGCCAAAGTCTGCGGCCGTTGTGTCCGGTGATGAGCATCGATATTTTGTTCGATGTCTCCGCCCACAATTTTTGAGCGGGCAAGCTCCGATACGACTTCGACTCCTATCCGAACATTAATGATTCATAATACAATCCTCAAAATTTATTCTTCTGCATAATATAAATTTTTCGTGATTTTCTCAGTGCACACGATACTCTAGACAAAGAGATAGGCGACCTCATGCCGTATGCTGAAATCTCTCTGATTAAGCATGAAAACGAATGAGCTCTTTCGGCCCCGCCTAATAGGAAGCGTCGCAATCAGAGCCGTGCCGGCTAGTAGTCCGACTGATTTGTTGCTGGATGGCTGAGTGTTAGTACTCTTTCCTATCAAAGTGAGTGAGTTGGTGAGCCCAGCGACGGAGCGGCCGGCGATCGTCAAAGGACCCTCTGTTGTACCGCGCGCGCGCAGCGCTTCCAGAAGCTGCGGCTGCCGTTGCCCATTCGATCGCTCAGTTCGTCCGTCAGCTCGGCCGCCGGCGTATCCGACTGTTTGCCTACACCGCGACTGATCGGCACTAAACGGACCGAGTCAAGTCGGGCTGGAGCGGGAGGGACGTCTCCCGAGATGTCCTTCCAGAACGAGTGCATGTGTTCGCCTGTAGTTCTACAAGTTCGCTCGACTCTGGGAAACAGCTGATCGGCGCGCCGTTCTCGAATAGCGGACCCTTGTGTCTCTCCCGTATGCGCGGAATCGGCGGCTACACTACAGACAAACATCGTGTGGAAGGATTTCAAGGGACCAACTCCGAACGGATTTCATTCCTCATTCGTTAGCGA